TGTGCTTCTAAAGTATGGGTTGCAATCCCTGGAAGGGGGGAGGGTAACAAGACAATGGACGTATGGCCATCATACAATAATGTTCTTACATTTCTTTCTGAGTAGGCTTATCAGTTTAATGTATAAAAAACAATTCAACAATTCTACAACCCTAGACCCTTCAAATTAGATGCCTACAAAAAGCTCTGATCTGACCTGCAGATGGAATTTCATTTTATTTGATTTTACAGTAAAAAAAACTCAGACACAGACAGACAGGATGGACGGACAACCAAAGAGTAATAAAATGAGCATAAAAGAGCAAATCATCTTAAGTAATACAGCAAATTATTGCTGATGCTAGACATTAAACATCCTATGGGACAAAAAAAAATAGCAACCTTTCTAGAGATAATTGATAATGTGTCACTTAGGAGGACCTAACCTCCTCCTCCAAGCTAGCATGGATGAAGAAAAGCATTATTAGTTTAGTTCACGATTATATTTAGAAAGGAAACCATAAATGGAAGATGACAGGGACAAATAAAATCTTCCTTCTAACAGGGAGGATGGCAAGATGTTATAGCAGAAGAGATAAAAATACTCCTGAGGATCAGGGAAAGGATATATGCTAAATATATAGTGTAAAATCTATCATACAGGCTACAGTACAGTATATAAGATGGTAGCTTGATTAAACCACGCCTATATGCCAGTGGCATGGCAAGTAATTCCCTCAGTTCATACAGACTCTCTTGGGGCCTAACGAGATCATATAACAAGCTGATGAACCATCATATTTTGGGTCTGCACAATTCTTATCTTCCTGTATGCCACTAAGACGGTGTCATTTATACCAGTATTTCAGCTACCAAAAGAGATGCTAGCCATCAGAGATTAGTCTGGATTCTAAATTCAACTGTGAGTTAGATACACAATGGGGTATTCAACACATAGCATTTAGAAATTTCAGTTGTACTGCTTAAATGAAGCTTAAGTCACGAGAGTGAAAAATCTGTTCTGTATAACAAATGACCTTGGCTCTGAAAATATTGGCAGCAGCTGGGACACACTTATTACTAATATGATTAGCAAAACTCAGAATGGTGCTTGAAAGCTTATGAGCCTGGACAGAGACTTTGCTGTTTGTTCCGGGTCGTTGAGGCTTGCAAGGAAGCATCTAGGTGTTTAAATACTCTTGATTTGATCAATGTCAAAGCCATTAATTTTCCAAGAGTAGTGGTGGGTGACAGTTCATTTGGAGAACACATCTACTTTAGTTTTATTGTAATTGATGACAAGTTGTTCCCTTCTGCAGCAATGGCCAAGAGAACAAAGGCTTAGGCTCATTTGTGTTAGAAGATTGCTGCACTATCAGCATATAAAAGTGATGAAACAGGTCTGTTGCCTGACATGAAGAGGATAAAATTTAAACTTTGTTGCATATTATACTTATTAAGTAATGTAAAAAGTAAAGAGCAAGCCTGGCTTCATCTCTTTGAGGTCATGAATTGAGATAACCTGACAGTCATACTAGACCAGCATTATCTTCTTCATAAATGTCAAATCAATAACAAAAGATGCCTTTCAAGAGAAGTAGCTACCAAGTTCTCCCAAAGCCTATCCCTGAGATGGCATCAAGTGCCACAAAGGCAGCACAAAGGCAGCACAAAGGCAGATTGTTATTGTTTTCTGTTAATGATGAAGATAAGAATGAGATACTAATCAAACATTAACCCTTCTTCCTGAAACATTGGATGTTATCTGGCATCAGCTAGACTACCAATTTTCTATAAAAATGCTTTTATGCAGCTTGTTCTTAAACTTAACAAGCTGATGGATCAAAATGGTTCTTCTTATATCCCTTTTTATGTATTGAAATTACAGCAGAGCTAGTCTAGTCTTACAAGATTTTTGTAAAGGAAAAACTTTACAAGCCAGCATTGGGATCACCAATCCAGGTTCATCTCTATCATCCTGCCAAAATCAGTTCCAAGCACTTTACCAATTTTTAGTCGTGCAGTAAATTTAGCCATCTCAAAAGACAAAAAAGTGACCTATGTGTTATAATGTTGGAATAGAAATTGGACAAAATTAAGACTTCAGACATATTTATTTCAATTAGGTGCTACATAACTCCAAACTGACAATATAAAAAGAAATGCAAATGCAATATAAAACAAATGGGAATCCACTCACCTGATAGAAAAGTATAGACAAAAACACATTACAAGTAGTCCTCATATTGTGACTGTAATGGAGCCTGCACATTAGGGTTGAAGCTTGGGTCAATGTTAAATGAACTGCCACAAGTAACAACCAGCCATCCCTGCTCTCCCTGGTATATTTGTTAAACAAACACATGAGTTGTTTTAAGTGGAGCTCAGGGGTGGAGGAGATCCTGGGAGGCCTAGTGCAGGTACAATATGACCTGCTTCAGGCCTCCCCCACCTCAAGATACCTCCATGGTCTGTTTCCCACCAATTGGGTGCCTCACATGCTGGCTGTTGCCCAGCTGTCTTGCCAGCGAGAAACAATGGGGAAGAAAAATGCTGGGCTCATCTGCCTTTCCTAATTCTGCCTCTGCCTTCCCCCCCCCCCACGCCCTTCTTTTTGGGGCAAAAAAGGGACCATTTCCCTAATCTTTCAGAGCTTCTGCACTGATCAGCTGGCTGCCAATCAACTGGCCATTGGGAGGCTGCAAAGCTCGCCTGTCTTTTGCTAGGCTTTGGGAAGCTGGCACTTGCATAAAAGACAGCAGCTTCAGGACAAGCTTCCAAAAACTTTTCCCTTGCTTAACCCCTCCTCCCTCCCTCAGAAAGGTACATTTTTTTCAATAAACAAAACCAAAACAGCTGGGAGAGAGACTGGTTGAACTTCACCTCCCACCTCAATTAGGTGCTAGAACTAAACTCTCCACCTCTGCTCTCCAATCTCTATGCCTTTTAAAAACCTTATCTTGATTCTAGGCTGAAGAGTAGAGAAAGGAAGCAAGAAGGAAAGAAAGCAGTTTCTCCCCTTGAATTGAAAAACAAGCTTCATCTCCAAAAGTTAACCAACTACTATACTCTAGAACTTGTTCAACAAAATAGAGGACAGCAAGCTTTAGCTGTCCATCTGACTGTCTCTAGATGGCAGTCTACAGTCTAGCCTTTAAGTCCTAGCTAGATCTGTAAAAGATTTATATGCCGCCTTTTATGCAAGGGCTGGCTTCCCAAGGCCTAGTGAGACAGAGGAGAGCTTTGTAGCCTCCGATGGCCAGCTGATTGGTGCAGAAAGCTCTGAAAACACCCACCATTTTGCAAGGACCGGTCAGGGCCCTGAAAATGGTGGCTGCTTCTAGGACCAAACTCAAGCACTTCAGGTTCTATCAGGGTGAGGGGAAGAAGGTATATGTGGGGGTGTTCAGCATTCCCATGGTATTATATGGGTGAATGACTGTGGGATCACTGCAGCTGTCATAACTTTGATACAGAGTTGTATATAATTTTGGGGTGTCAATCGTAATTTGGAACCATTAAGTGGCCTTGAGGATTACCTACTAAACTTGGTATTAAAGTATCAATTCACTATTGATAATCAAGCACTTGATAATCAAGTGTTTTCCGGGAGCTTTGAGGGAAAATGAAGCAGAGAATTCATTTTGCCTCTTGCTTGAAGAAATACCTTAAAGAACTATGATAGATTATGGTAGAATTCTTATGTCTTGCATAAACTGAGCTATCTTCTAGCAGTTGATCCTTTAAATCTCTAACATTTTGCTTTTCCACAAGGCTCTTTATCTTCTTTTCCATTCTAGGACAATTCCTCACATATGCAATACATTAACTCTAAAACGTTGACCAAAATGCTCTTGAATTCACACATCCATAGTCAAACCACAACTTTGAGAACCATTTGGCTCTCTGGATCTTAGGTGGAATCTGGGTGTGAATGTTTTTAATTACATAGCACATCTAATGCTATTCAGAGGAAATTATGATCAAAGGGAGGGGAGGAAGTAAATGACTTGATCCATATTCAGTAAAGGTGAGCTGAAGGGAACCCCAAATGGAATTCATAGCATGGCAATGTTATGTAAGGTGCAGCATTTTAAGAGAAGAGAAGGCTTTAAAGTAAAGAAGCATCATTCCTCCCCTCCTTATTTTGTTAAAAGAGAATGCCTAATTTTTAAATGAAACCCAAATGTCAGAAATTATGCAAAAGTAAGCTCATCCTTCCAATTAAAAAAATAATTTAATTCTTGGGGCAGGGAGTTGTTCATTTCTAATGGAATAATTTTCATTTATAAACCTGTAAGGTTCCAACAATGTTTTGATATAAAGATTAAAATGTAATTATTAACCTAAGTAATTCTTTGCCTTCCTTAATTCCAGTGAATAATTTATGTCATTTATCATTAAGCGATGGGATCATATATTGCAAAATTTAAGAACATCTTCTGTAAAGGATCTACATGAATGCATTTCATCATGGAATCTCATGCACATAATCCACCTAAAATTGGGTTAATATACTACGTTACTTTGCATCAATGAATATTGATCTAGAGAATGTGGAATGAAAACACTAAAATTTGGTATTTGAATTGTGGATTTCAAATAACTGCAATTTCAAAGAACTACAATTGAACATTGATGTGACAGAATGACTTAGAGAAACTAAGAATACAATGGTAAGATTATTTGCCATAATCTTCATTAAGCTAACTGAGATATAGTTTTTAATAGAATTGTGTTATGTTGGCTTTGAAGTGCTAATATAAATGATTTGCAGACTGTAAAAGTGTTAATGTAATTTTTGCTTTTTTCTCTGCAAAATAAAATGTGCATTTTACATCAGTGATTAAAAGTAAGTTTCCATCTTTGTAAAAGTGTGAATTATATACATTTTTGCCTCACAGATTAATGCTTTATGGGAACAAAAATAAGCTTCCCAAATACTAGAAGCCATATAATCTTTTTATGATGTTGAAATAAATTATAACTGTGAAACAGTCAGTTTCTTGTATTCCCTTCCAGGTAATAATGCTGACAGAACATACATGTGCTCTAGCTTCACACTGCCAAAAACTGTTTTCTTTCATGTTATGCTGAAGAAGACTGAAGACTTGTGTTACCTGCTTGGGAGGAAGCAGGATTTGAAGGAGTTGCAATGCAACTACAAGGACGGGAAGGACGGAAGCTGTCCAGACAAGGAAAGTTCTTGGTGGTTAGCCTTCTGGAACAGATTAGCTATTCCAAACGCCCAGACTAAACAACCTTGGAAAGGACAGAATCTGTTTCGTTAAAACACTGGAAATACAGTATGAGAAATCACTTAGACATTCATTGGACTGTACTTTACTATAAAATCTTCCATGCTTAAAAATTCCACAGCTATGCAGTGATTCGTTCTTTTTTTCTAGCATAATTACTAATAGCAGTTTCACTTCAGTGTTGAAAAGAAATAAACTAGAATTACCTATTGAGACCAGATAGATGTAGCAGCATTGTTCATGTAAGCAAAATGTATTACACTAGTTCAATAATAAATGAAAGCAGTATTTAAGCAGATCAGAAATGAAGAAATGTAAAGCTATTCTGCCTTTGATTAGTTACCACAATTGTTGGTCATTCACTTCTGCAGCAGTATGTGCTTTTTGTAGTGGTGATTATATTTATAAACATTAGGAAAATATTATTAATTTATGAAAGGGGATTCGGAACATTTGTTTGATGAATGTAATTAAAAAGAACATATAGTATGTCATTTTGTACTACTATCTAATAGGACACATTGAAATTACAAACAGTAATGGGTAATCCTAAATTATTTTGAACAATGCCTCTAAAAGATGCATGTGCTAAAGGATTATTGAATGGAAAAGCAAACTGATATTTTGTTGTGCTTTACCAATGTGATGTTTCCACAATTAGCAAACCCAAAAATCATTTTGCCATCTCATCTAATTTCTCTTAGAAGGATATTTGTGGCAGCAATACATGAACATGTTCTACTCCATCTTCAACCACAGAAATAGCCACAATTTTAGTCTTCAGTTAATTAATAGACAAGAGTACATTTCTCACAGCTTGTTTGGCCAGCTAAACAACTTTTCTTTGAAAAGGGTATTAAAGAGAAGAGATATAATAAAGTGCCATTACAAAAAGACATTTTCCCTTCTTTGAGGAAAAGGTCAAGTAAGGATTTATAGAATCGTTTTTCAAAGTTGCAGATTCTTTTATTTTAGTTCCTGAAAATACAGCCCAAAGACTGTAATCATAAGTAACTCTACAATATAATTCTTTTATGTCACGCCAAGAGCCAATCCATAGATGTGTATGAATCAGCATCTATGATATTGCTGAGTTCTGGACATCTTCCCGAGCAGATAAACTCTCAGCTGGAACTTTCTTAAATAGGTCTGCAATTCTGATCAAATAACGTACAAAACCCTAAATTATCATGTTTTTGTCCTGTAAATTTCTTTCTATCATATATAGCCTCTAGGATGGCCATGGAAAAAAAATTACAGTAGTTATTATCCTGACAAACAAAAATACTTTGGCATCTGAAAATCAAACATTGCTACAATAGTTATGGAAGAAACTTTGGTGCTGCCATCTAATCAATTTTCAACCTGCTTTTCTGCCCAGAGGTTTCTTGCAATCTCCATATTGAAAAAAGTCCCCCTTCAACGATTATACAAATCTTAAAGGATATATGAAACACTGACTTATGGAGAAGGTTAGGTTTAGTTTGTTATCAACTACACTGTCACAATGTTCTTCACATGTACTCTTTATCAAGCAGGGCATCCTATATCTGCATGTTTATTTTTTAAGGAACTATTACATCAAATGCAAATCAAAAGCACATTTATTCAAAATTAGTAATCTCAGAATAAATGATTTCAGCATGATAGTAGTTGCATAAACCAAGAAACATGTTCAGACCCTCCACCAAATATATATGCATATATGCATATTCATCCACCTAGAAAGGCAGATATACAAGAATAGGGGAGGTCTTCTTCTGACGCTTAAACATCTTTTGAGCAAGTTCTCCAGCAGCTTTCATAAGCACATCTCCCACACAGAACAATTAAAACAAGAAACTTGATTGATCTTCATAGTTACCATCACTGCATAAGATATAGTCTGTAATTTAATACTTCATTCCATAAAGAAGAACATACTTCCCTGAGAAAAAAATGAAATGAACTATTGATGTATGTAAAAATATATTCTTAGGCAATGCTTGTGAAAACTGATAACAGAATCTATTTAGCTTGCTAATTAAAAAGTGGAGGGAAAGTTCTCTTTCCCAAAAATATTTTGCAGAATTGGAAACTGTCTGCTAATATATTCTCAAAAGCAGATTTTAAGTAATATAACTCTATCCAGTGCTTTTTTTCTTAAAAAAAAAAAGTGCTGGAACTCACACACGTCATACAACCTGCCTTGCCTACCCTACAAGGTTCCATTCAAAAAGGGTGCCAGAACTCTGTTCTGGGCGTTCTATGAGAAAAAAAGCCCTGACTCTATCATAAACTAACAAAAGTTAAATGGCTATATAATCTTATTCTTTGAAAATTTCTTCATTATTTTATTTATCACATTTACAAACTGCCCATCTCCCTCATAGAGCAATACTAGGAAGTCTACAAATAAGACATAAAAACTGTATACATATTACAATACAAGGCAGAATGAAACATGAATAAAATATTTAAAATTCAGAATTAAAACATAGGAGGGAGCCTTCAAGGCACTAACCAGCCCCCATAGCTGCATGAACCTCTCTGGGCCCCAAGTGAGTCAGGTCAAGTTGAGTTTTGTGATGCACAGTCACTATGTTTGTTTTTTTTTAAATCACAAATATAAGAGAAGGGTTACAAAACTGTGGATATAAAAAGTAGAGTGAATTGCATGGGAACTCCTATCTGTGATGGATGCTCTAATTCCAAACTAAGCTCAGCTTTCTGACCTTCTTGCCATTTGTGTTAGTCTTTTCCACAATACCAATGCCAAAATCACTACATTATCTGTGTGAAGCCTGCCAAGTTCAATAAAAGACTTTCTTAGCTATTCATTTACTCCACTCCAGTGTATTATCAGACTGTAACAAATGCAATAATAAAAAGCCACCTATAAATGTAAACCAATTATAGATCAAACCTGCTTCAAAGCAAATTTTCAGGATAGCTGAAAAACTAGGAAATACAGCAGGAACATACTGTGAATAGTATGGTTTACATTTAAACATTGGAAGTTTTTAAAAAGAGATTGGGCAACCATTTGTCTGAAATTGTATAGGGTTGCCTGCTTGAGCAGGAAGTTGGACTAGAAGACCTCCAAGGTCCCTTTCAATTCTGTTATATTATTCTGTTATATAAAGCTCCAATTCTTATCCCTCAATTACCCATAATTTAAATGGATAGACTATTTCTTTTGAACTACACAAGTCTACAGGATACATATTTCATATTACGTATTTAATCTGTGATGTCATTCACATGTCAAAAGGAATAACTTAATTTTACCAATACTGTTAAATTATGTAATAAAAATGTACATAATACAATTATTTTGATTATCATTATCATCTTTTAAATATGTGCATTTCTCTGTAGTCTAGACACTTCAAGTAATATATGACAAAACAACATCACTAAAAGAAATTGTAGCTGCAAAAATGCAATTATATGTTTAAAAACAGACTACAAAAATAGCACAAGTTAAAAATGTAAATGAAACTTACTATGTTTTTTAAAAAACCAAAAGTATAAAATAGCACAAATATGCTGTAAGCACATATTTAGGGAGAAGTGGCACACAACTTTTGGAAGGACCGATTCATGACCAGTTACCAACACTTCACATGTAAAAATACAAAAAAGAAGCACTTCTGAAGAAGATCCGAAGAACAGACAGCTCATAGAAGAATCTACTGTATAGTCTTTGGGTTCTTCAGATATTGTGACTCTGTGAATGGTTTTATTAGTCATAATCAGTCACAATTAGTCACAAACTGAGCCTGGAAACAAACTGAGAATAGAAAAGATGATACAACTCAGATGAGACAACTGATCATAATATCCGTAGTTCTCGACCACAACCACAATTGAGCCCCAAATTTCCATTGCTAAGCAAGACAGTTGTTAAGTGGATTTTGTTCCATTTCATGACCTTTCTTACACAGTTGTTAAGTGAACCACTGCAGTTGTTAAGTTAGTAACATGGTGTAAAGTGAATCTGGCTTCCCCATTGACTTTGCTTGTCACAAGGTCACAAAAGATGATCACATGACCCCGGGACACTGCAACTATCATAAATATGAGCCAATTGCCAAGTGTCTGAATTTTGATCACATGACCATGGGGATGCTGCAATGGTGATATGAAAAACGGTCATAAGCTACTTTTTAATGCCAATGTAACTTCAAATAGTCATTAAAAAATGGCTGTAAGTCAAGGACTACCAATATCCATTTTCAAGTTATGTTCTGCCAGCCAAATTTTGGATTGCTTTCAAAGACACTGAAATTTCTAATTAAGGCAGGAATCATTAAACTGGAACAGGGATCATGCTCTTTCTTCATGTAGATCAGACATGTCAACTCGCGATGTCATGTGACGTCACGCAACGTATCTGAGCTTTTTCCCATTTGCCGTCAATGGGGTGGGCACGGTTTCATCGTGATGCATCCAGCCCGTAGGCCGGGAATTTGACACCCCTGATGTAGATACGATAGTTGCTGCACTTCTGTGAATTGTAAAAACCATTCTGAGTCACAGAAAATACTTGTTTTTGTAAAACAAGACTGGAACAATTAACAACTTCAAACTACAGACCTGTTTTTGAAACTCCTTATAAAAGAGTTTCAACACTATTAATCTAAACAGATGACTACTAATTGATCTGATTGATTCATACATACATATATTTAGAGGTTGCCTGACTCCACAAGACTCTGTAGATTCTACAGCTTTAAAAGTAAGAAAGCAATAAAACAATAAAAACAAAGATATGCATGTCTGGAAAAAACTAGAAATTTAGCATTTCTGTCACATCATCCACTTCATATGAAAAAGAAGAGACAGGGCTGTATGTTATCAACATACCAACGCAACTGGATTTCAAATATCCAGAAGTATTTCAGACAAATGCTAAACAAAGTGGAAGGTCAGATACAATTTTGCAAGAGCCCAAAATGCAAATACCAAGAAGATGAACTAAAAAAGAGAGGCTCAAATCTGAATGAGACTACTAAAAGCCTGTTTTGCTCACTCCCAATTTAACTAGCTTTTCAAGAACCTGCCTTAATTAGGTCATCCAACCAATTCAGTGCTAAAATTAAGCCAAAGTTTTACATAAAGAATAGTTTCATGCAAGAGCACATGGGATCCACTGGTCGTCTGTGCAGAGTATGTTGCCATATTTGAGAACTAGATTGTTCTTTGAAAAATGTATACATATTCAGGTGAAAGATTTTTTTTCCAGAGAATTCTAACGATCAAGTGCAAATATAAAGGTATGGAGGCAGGAAGAAAAAAAAAATCCTCAAAACTCTTCTAGGAGCCCCTGAAATTGGTACATAAGTTAGCGTAGTCTATGTAAGGCAAAGAAGAAAATCAAGAAGGGGCTTTTTTTCAGTTCTGCAGGTACGCCCATGTGTCACCTATCCTCCGCGAGCTGCACTGGCTTCCTGTGGGTCTCCGGACGCAATTCAAGGTGTTGGTTATCACCTTCAAAGCCCTTCATGGCATAGGGCCAGGTTACTTACAGGACCGCATTCTGCCACACAGCTCCCAGAGACCGGTGAGGTCCCATAGATTGGGCCTCCTTCAGGTCCCGTCGGCCAGACAATGTCGGCTGGCGGGCCCTCGGGGAAGGGCCTTTTCTGTGGTGGCTCCGACCTGGTGGAATCAACTTCCCCCCGAGGTTTGAACTACTCCCACCCTGCCGGCCTTTAAGAAAGCCGTTAAAACTCTCCTGTTCCGGCAGGCCTGGGGCTGATGTCCCTGGGGGGCCGGGATATGATCGGACTCGCGGTATGACTGGATTATTTTATTCTTTTATGACTGTTTTTAACCTTGTACGCCGCCCTGAGTCCTTTGGGATTGGGCGGCATATAAATATTTGTAAATAAATAAAATAAATAAATGCTGCCAGGGAGAGAAGCACCCAATGATGACAGAGAAGGAGAAAGATGACCAGAAAGCCAGAAAAACCATGGAATTCATGGTAGAGGAGCCCAAAGGAAAAAGAAACCTGTAGCAGTCGAGGAGAAACAGAACCAAAATTACGTTAGGAAAGGCAGGCTTAGACTGAGTACCAATTGCAATGCAAAACTTTCAGTCCTTTAAAATAGCCCAGGTCAGGAAAACAAATACCACAAGAAATACTATAGAACTCTGCTTTATTAGTATAGGTTATAATAAAATAATCTTGAAAGCCTAACAGCATTTCTCTTTCCTCTCCCTTATATCAAAGACAGTCAAAGTGGGGCAGTTTTGAGTTTCTTTCTCGTGTCTTCTTGTTTTCTTGGGCTATATTCATATTTTCCTAACAGCTACTTCCTATTTTCTTCATCTTCTTGCTCCCCTACAAAAACCCAATTGATTCAGATGCTGGAGCCAGAGAAAGCTTGAGTACAGGGGGAACAGGCACAGTCTCTTTCGTTTTTTTTGCTTTCAATAGAGTAAAGCGAAGGAAAGCAATTAGCATTCCAAAGCTAACACTTTAGATAAGCAGGTGGAGAAAGGAGGTGGGAAAGAAGTGCAGTTTGTAAGAATCACTAAAATTTTCTCTAGGACTTCACTTTTGCTGTTAAAGGAACCATTTCTTTATTTTTGCACTCACTTGTACATTCAAACTACAGCAGTTATCCAAAGAATAAACAACACTTTAATTGTTCTTTTGGTTCTCTGTGTGTGTGCATCAGTTCCTATCCTAATCTGCCCTCCAACACCATCATGCATTTCAATAAAAAAGTAATAATATATATATTGTATTTTCAATCAACCTAATAACTAAAAAAGGAGCCCAGTTGGCATGCTAGTTACCTCTCAACTTTACAGTTTAAAAAAACCCTAATATAAAATGTTGCTATACAAAAGATGACAGTCCTTTATTTGTAAAGAGGCTGTGCAAGCTCACAATCAGGCATGAAGTGAGAAGCCAGATAGCGATAGCAATAGCACTTACACTTATATACCACTTCACAATGCTTTGCAGCCTTGTCTAAGGTGTTTACAGAGTCAGCATATTGCCCCCAACAATCTGGGTCCTCATTTTACCGAAGGATGGAAGGCTGAATCAACCTTGAATCGGTGAGAATTGAATTGTTATACTGCATTCTAATCAGTGCGTCATCACCATTTCCAGCAGCAAATGTCAGAATAGCAATTCCCATGACTGGTGGAAGAGGGCAGATGAGTCCAAAGGGTGGCTCAGTGATGAAATAGCATTGTGGCATGACAA